GAGGTGTCTCAGGGTAGAAAGCTCAGCTTTTCAAGGCTAAATTTACAGCAGGGTTCAGAACCACCAAGGCTCCAAGGGTGGGTATGGAAAACAAACCATGGGCACCTTTTGGTTTTGTAAGACCCAAATCCAGAAGCTGAAGCTCAAATTAAATTTAAGACACCAGCTCCCATCCCTGCAGCTCCAGCACAGCTGGAAGAGGGAAGATGGCAGGGACAGATGACACAGAGCTGGAGGAAAGCAGTGCTGGAAGGAGGGAACATTGCTCACAGGAGTTATTTATGATCCGCCAGGAAAGCGAGGAGATACACAGCCTGGGACTCCCTGGGGATCTGTCCCAGGCCTGGTACTGCTCAAAATATTTTTTTAATAATTACTTGCATGAATAGAAAATTTGCTTCTTCCAGCTGCAAATGATAGCGAGCCGGGAGGGACTGGAGGAGCTTTGGAGGATGGGCTGGGACTTCAAAACAAGCTTGACGCAGTAGAGAATTAGCCTGGAAAATAAAAAAATAGTCTGCAATTTAGGAGAAACAAAGGGAAAATGCTGCTTTTATAAGAGGAGCTGGGCTGCAGAGCACAGTCTGGGGAGGGAATGGGGGAGCAGGGATGTGGCAAAGGCGTCACATCCCTGCCTGGGATGGGCAGCCTGTCACAGTCATATTTTCTGGAAAAATCCCTTTGCCCAGGATTCTTCTCCTGGGAAGCTGAGATGCCTCAGAGAAAAAGGAAAACAATAATTATGTGATTTGCTTTTCCTGTGTTTTGCTGCTGCTTTGGAATGTGTTTGGAGATTGTTTACCAACAGGTGATTGTTTCATTGGTTTCATGTGAATTGTTTTGAGTCAATGGCCAACCAGGGCCAAGCTGTGTCCAGGCTCTGGAAAGAGTCATGAGTTTTCATTATTATCTTTTTAGCCTTCTGTAATTATCCTTTCTGTATTCTTTAGTATAGTTTAGTTTAGTATTCTTTAATATAATATAGTATTATAAAATAATAAATTAGCCTTCTGAGAACATGGAGTCAGATTCATCATTCCTTCTTTTGCCTGGGAACCCCACAAATACAACAGCAGCCCCTTCTTGTTCTGAGGGACAAGCAGCAAACCACAGACAAGGGCAGGTGAATGTTGCCTGCAGGACTTATGGAAAGGTGATTTAGATCCCTGTGGATCCATGGATCCTCACCAGGAGTGGGCTGTCTGCACAGACATGAGGATTTGGGGAGGTTGTGGGCTGGTGCTGAAGTCCAGGGGTTGATCAATCACAGAAGCTGGAAAAAGAAATCAAAACAAACCCACCCAAACTCCAAAAACCCCTCAAGCTCCCCCAGAATAATCAAAGGACTTGGAGTTATGTATTGCAGAGAAGACCAGGTTTGGACAAGAGCTACCTTACTACCTCAGACTTTTACAAATATTTAAGGCAGTCTGTTCCCTTCTATTTAAATATTTACAGGGACCTGGAGGGACAGGACAAGGGGGAGTGGATTCCCACTGCCAGAGGGCAGGGTTAGATGGGATTTTGGGATGGAATTCTTCCCTGTAAGGGTGCTGAGAGATTGGAATAGAATTCCCAGAGCAGCTGTGGCTGCCCCTGGATCCCTGGCAAAAATTCATTGGGGTAAAGTTATGTGGATATTGCCCAAGTGGGTGGCCAAGGCACCAAGGAGAGGGGAAGGACCTTCCTCATCCTCCCTCACAGGGTGCACCATGAGCTGGAAGAAAAAGCAACCCCAAGAGGGAGGGCAGCCCCTTCCTGTCTGCAGGAATTAACTAAAGAATTTTGCAGCCTGAGGCCAGGACTGGGACATAAAGGCAGAGTGGGAGCTGCAAGTGTTCACAAGCTGTGTTGAGCTCAGAAGTCTCCATGCCAGAATCACAAAATCCTTAAGGATGGAAAAGAGCTCCAAAATCAAGTCCAACCATTACCCCAACACTGTTCACCACAAACCTTGTCCCCAAGTGCCACATCCACCCATTTTTTGAGTGCTTCCAGGGATGGGGATTCCACCACTGCTCTGGGCAGCCTCTTCCAATGCCTGACCAGTCTTTCCATGAAGAATTTTTTCCTGATATCAAATCCAAACCTCCCCTGGCCCAGCCTGAGGCTGTTCCCTCTCCTCCTGTCCCTGTTCCCTGGAGCACAGCCCAACCTCCCCACTGTTCCCTCCTGTCAGGAGCTGTGCAGAGCCACAAGGTCCCCCCTGAGCCTCCTTTTCTCCAGGCTGAGCCCCTTCCCAGCTCCCTCAGCCTCTCCTGGTGCTCCAACCCTTTCCCAGCTCCGTTCCCTTCCCTGGACATGCTCCAACCCCACAGTGTTTCTGTGCTGAGGGGCCCAACAGTGCACACACAATTCCAGGTGCAAAGTCAGAGAACCCTTGGGATAAGAACATCACTTTCCCTGGGCTGCACCCCGTTCCTGCAAGGACAGATGTGGCTCACACTGCAGTCACAGGAGCGATGGGATGCCAGCTAGCAGCTTGGTGACCTTACCCCTCCCTACAACTTCCTGAAGGGTGGTTGTAATCAGATGGGGTTGGGCTCTTTCTCCAGGCAGTAACTGGCAGAATGAGAGATCAGAGTCTCAAGCTACACCAAGGGAAATATAGACTGGATATTAGGAAAAAGATTTTCACAGAAAGGGTGATAAAGTTGTGGAATGGCTGCCCGGGGAGGTGGTGCAGTCCCCATCCCTGGGTGTGTTTAACAAAGCCTGGATGTGGCACTGGGGGCCAGGGTTCAGTTCAGCTGTTGGAGCTGGGCTGGACTCGATGACCTTGAAGGTCTCTTCCAACCTGGAGATTCTGTGATTCCTCGTGTGACTGGAGGGTGCCACAAGAGTGGCCATTCCCAGGCTCTCTCAGAGACTGCCCAGCTGGTGCTGAGTGCTGCAGCGTGGGTGATGCTGGCATGTGCGGGCTATGAGGATCCAAGATAAAGGAACAACAGAGAGGACAATTGTGTGGATACCAGGGAGGCTTTATTCCTCAGTGGGACCAGGAACAAGGGCCAAGGAAAAAGGGTCCAGACAGCTCTTGTGGTGGTTCCAGTTGTTGGTTTCCCACTGGATGGGCTTTAAGTCCCTTCCAACCCAAACCACTTTGAGATTCTCTGATTTTATTAGAAGGAAATAGGTTGTTCTCTTCCTCTCTGTGACCAGCAGTGATGGGTTCATGCAACAGAAAAGGAGGTTGTCTTTAATTTAGACAACAACAACAAGAAGAACAAGGTTGGGGGTTTTGTCTTGGTTTGGTTTTTTTTTTTTTTTTTTTTAATAGAGTGCATAGTTCAGGCAATTTTGGTTTTGGCAGTCCAACTGCTCAATATCAGCCCTGTAAATTTTTTCATAGACTGGTTGGATAAGAACTGCTGTGATTTATACAGCTGGAGTTGATCCTGACTCTGCAGAGGAGGAAACTGTGCAGAGCTGAAAAAGCCCCTTTTTGCCATGTTCTCTGGCACAAACTCCTTGTGAAAGGTGTCAGTTCAGAGCTATTCATGGAAATGAAAGATGAGCATGGAATCTATGCAGCTTCCTGCAGAAAGTCAGCAGGAAATCCATGGCTAAAGCTGGATTTCTCCATCAATATGTGGGTTTTGTTACAGAGAGCAGTTTTGATAAAACAGATTTTTTTTTCTTTGTTTTCCCTCCTGGTTTAATAGAAGAGAGGTGTATTGCTACATTCCTGAAATCAAAAATCACACCAGAGACACGAGCAGGCAGCCTGGGTTTGAGATGATGTGAGCTCATATTCCCAGATTCTCTACTGCTGACCACATTTTCCTTAGGCAGCTCTCGCTTCTGCAATAACCAACCCTGCCAAGCCCAGAAGGCAATCGCATCTTCACAGCAACCTGTGAGCTCTCAGGAGCAGAGAATTGTCCCAGATGATTTTCAGTGGCTTTGGTGGCACAGAGAAACCAAAATGCACCTCCAAGTCTCTGCAAGGGCTCCCACTCACCATCCCTGCTTCCCACAGATGGGAACATCGAGTCCTTGACATCCTTGCTCTCTCTTGGGCTTTTTTTTTTTTTTTAAATCCCAGTGCCCTGGAAAAGGCTCTCATAAAGGGAGTGGGTGTAAGGGGTGGAAACACAAAGCAACCAAAAGGGGAAAGCAAGGGGAGGAGTAGAGGACCTGACAGAACCAGTAGGGACCACACAGAGGAGGGAAGAAGCCCCAGAGACAAATAATCTGCTAAAGAGGGGACAATTAACACAGAACTTTCTCAGAGAAGGTAGGGGTGGTTATAGTGACTGACAGGGAAGGTGGGCAGTGCAGCTGGGATTGACATGGCCATTAAGGACGTGAGGGGGGGACAGGGGGACTGTCATCGTGACAGACAGACAAGTGGTGGGAAAAGTAGGGAGTAAACAATTTAGGGGGAAACAATTCTGAGGGGATGAAATGGGGGTACAAAGGATCAAACAATTTCTCTAAGAGAGTGTAGCTATCTTTTGTAATAGAAACAACAGTAAAACTTGTAAAAACACACAATGCCACAGACAGATACACAGCAGAAATATCAGTTAATCCCAAATTAATGCAAATCCCTTCTTTGTGCATCCACCACACACAAATTTATTACCTTCATTAAAAACCCTCCCCAAACCTGCCACAGGCCCTCTGATTTCACTCATGCAATCCCATCCACTTCCCAGGGATTACATGGATGTGATAAAATTCAGGCCTGGGTCCCTTTAATTGTTCAGATGATTTGTAAGCAGTTTTAATGTACCAGGTGGAAAATCATTTCTGTTTCTGCACCACCTAAAAAATAATGATTTACAAGGATGTGAAGCAGGGGTGGGGCACACAGAGCTTGATCTCCTCCTGATTTAAATCCCAGGCCATGTTCCATTTGGGATTGACAGCAGATGGGATTCCAGGGTGCAGCCCAAGGTCATCCAAACACGGTGCTCTGCTCTGAGTGGGATCATCAGGAGCCACACAAAGCCAGAACAGAAATTTAATCCTCTGCCACAGACCCAGGGATCCTCGGGAAGAGCACAGGGAATGCTCCTTCCCCTCGAGTTCAAGGACAAATAGCCCTTGTTTGGAAGTGATGGAGTGGGAAGGGAATCTTCCTGGCACAGAGACAGTGCAGGGTAAGTGTGTTTATGCTGTGGCTTTGTACATCTGTGATTTATAAGTAGTTGTTGGAGAGGCAGATGGTTCATTTAATGTTGTCTTATTTGAGACAAGGCACTCACCTGCAACTGGAGACAGAGCCACTCCTCAATATCCTGTGGATAACCCATTCCCAAAACAAACCCAGACCTGCACACCAAACCTTGCTTAGAACCTTTTTTTTTTTTTTCTTCTTCTTTTTGATGAAATCACTCCTAATTGAGCACTAATTGCACTTCACTGCAGGATTTCAGACCTGTTTCGATCCTGAGCAGTCCATGCCTGGGTGTCACCACTCTATTTTTACCCAGCACTGCTCCAGCCCTGCCTCCACAGCCAGCTCAAGGTGACAGCGTGACCTCCGCAGCAGCAGCACCTGAGAGCAGCCCTGGGATCCCCAGGATTGACTCCTGCAGGGAACACAGCTCTGGAAGCATCAAAAACATGAAAGAAAGGTTGGTGACTACTTGTAACACCCTGCTGGGGAGGGGATCCTGCCCCTTCACCCCACCCTGCAGTGCTGGGTCCAGCTCTGGGGTCACTGTACAGGAGGGACCTGGAGCTGCAGGAATGAGTCCAGAGGAGGCCATGGGGATGTTCCAAGGGCTGGAGCCAGGCTGGGAGAGCTGGGAATGTTCACCTGGAGATGAGAAGGCTCCAGGGAGAGCTCAGAGCCCTTCCAGGGCCTGAAGGGGCTCCAGGAGAGCAGGGACGGGACACAAAATGGCTTCAAACTGAAAGAGGACTGGGTTAGATGAGACAATGGGAATAAATTCCCAGTTTTCTCTGCAATGGCACAGGGTGCCCAGAGAATCTGTGGCTGCCCCTGGATTCCTGGCAGTGCCCAAAGCCAGGCTGGACAGGGCTTGGAGCAGCCTGGGACAGGGGAAGGTGTCCCTGCCATGGCAGGGGTGGCACTGGATGAGCTTTAATGTCCCTTTCAAGGTCCCTTCCAACCAAGTCCTTCCATGACAAGCTGGTTTATGCTGCCCTGAGACACAAGAGCTTGTCCAACACTTTTATCTTCTCTGTGGTGGTGCCACTCCCCCTCCAAGGTCAGGCAGTGCCAGGTTATCCAGATCACACTGAAATCCTCAGCAAACACCAAGGAATCACCTCCCCTCATCCCCCTCACCTCATGCCAAAGGCAGTATTTCCACTGAAATCCAGTTTCTGGGGAACAGAAGGTCTGAAAGCCTAATGGATCAGCCTGCAAGCCACCACGTGTGCTGCCCTGGGCTAACAGCACATTCCCAATATGCTGAGGAAATCAGCTGGGAATGTGTATTTAGGAAAGGAGATTTAGCAGAGTGGATTAGCTCAGCCCATTCCCAGATTTCCGTGGAGATCCATTAAGTGTTTCTTTTCACCAAGGAGAGGAACCTTTTATAGATCTAGAGGAAATGGTGAGACCTCAAATCACTTGGAAATTTCAAAATATTTGTTCCTCCAATGACTATTATGTAAACCCAGAGTCCTGCTGAGGAATAGTTCCCCTATGTAGGTCAAGAAAAGGACAAGCAAATTTGTGTCTGAGTCTTGCAAGGGACAAAAGTGGACTCTGAAAGTGTATTTTTAATTTTCCTGCCCGTTTCCTTCAAGCAGCACCACAAATTTTTCCAGATGCAGAGAAAACAGCATATGCAGATATGTACAAAAGTTTATTTTACAAACAGCAACTACTTTGGAAATAACAAAATTGCAAAAACATAGAGCAGCGTTAGAAAACCAGCTCAGGGGGACATTTTCCATCTGAAACACATTTTAACAGACTTCACTAAGTAAAAATACCCCCAACCCTTCCCTCAACTTCTCCCCAACCATTGTCTACCTGATGGAATTTCTTTATAAACCTTGGACTAAAGATATGAAAGATTGTAGTGACAGAGCAGTAATTTTTGATAACTACAGTTAACTGTTTGACCATATTTCTATTACCTTTTCCTGGCCTTAAAAAGTCAAATCAGATCTAAAATATGATAAAAATCTGATCCTGGAGCAATATTTTCACTAATAGGTATTGAATGGTAATGGTTATATTTGTATATTTTGTGACACCATGAACCCTCTAGTTCTATTTTCTTAGTAAGGGAAAAAAACAAGCTACAGTTGTACTGAAAATGATGAAACTACAACAAATATCACTGAAATATTTGTTGAGGACTCTCAGATGGCTGCAGCTGTTAGAAACATGTTTGTAAACGTATCCTGACTTGGGTATTAAATGTATTTAATGCTAAAAAGCATCAGAAGTTTACCAAAAGGTGGACAGGTTGTGTGCACACATTTTGTCACTAAACTCTTAAGTGTAGGAAAGGGGTAAGAGCAGAGTTTTGGGTACTTCTAGAAAAGTGAAAAACCTCCATGGCCAATTGATGTGGCTGGACAGAAATGGAGGGAATTGTCACCATCTCCCTTTGAACTTGCTTTTCATAAGTGTACCAAAAAAAAAATCATCAAATTTTGGGGAGCTTAATTCAATCAAAGAGAGAAGGAATTGATGCCTCAGCGAGAAATTACCGCTTTTAATTGTCAAAGCGACTGGGTCCTGATGAGATTAAGAAAACTAATTTCCAGTATTTGAAAATGAGCAAATGAAAGCATCTCCAGATATTACAGAAAGTCAGTAAGGAAACTTTTATGGTACAGCAGTGCTCGTTAGCTCTAATCAAACCACGTTGGCTTTGTCACCACAGACCCCAATTTTCAGGTGACATTATGCCGTTAAAAAAACTGGTTCTCAGTACATAACTTTCTAAATCCCCCAAAAAAACTTTACAGATTATTTTAAATCAACTGGATCAGAATATTGCAAGAATTACTCAATGATCTTCAGCTTGACTCTATTTTTTTTTTTTTTTTGCAAGCCATTTGCCTGTAACTTAAGAGTAATTTTTGGTACTAAACTTTACTTTGAAGGTATTGTTCATGCTTTTTATGAGGCATCCCAGTATTTTTCAAGTCCTGCTTTAACAAGATATGGTTCAATATCTGCAATGTCAGTATCTGATATTCCCTATGGTGAATGGGATACAGAGCTTTTATAGAGGAACCTTTATGGCTGGTTTTCTCAAAAAATTATCATCATGTCAGTGTTTGAAAGAGTGCTTTGGACAAACTCATGGTTTGGATACACTCATGGTTTACAACACTCAAAATGTATTGAAGAATGCAAGCACTGTAATAGGAACTAAAAAAGTCAGGAAGTGTTTGGAAACACATTTTTAGTCTCTGAAGGACATTGCTGTTTATCACAAAATTCCTCTTTTCAACATAAAAAGTTTAGACAAGTTGGGTATTAAGCTCCAAAACTCATTCATCACACTTTTGCTCACTGCTTGTCAGTTTGACAATTCCCACTGGGCATCAGCTCATCTTTTCCAGCAGAATTCCAGAACACCACAGTTCAGGAGGGATTAAGACAGAGTGGCAGGCTTTGTTTTCCTCACCTATATCCTCTACAGAATGCAATAATCAACAATCAAGACAGAATGGAAACAGCTTTCAGCAATAAAAAAAGCATTTTTATCAACTAGAAATGGCAGCCTTTTTAAGAAATTGACTTCACAGTTTAATAGTTGCTAGCACATCTTTCCTAAGGTGTTTATAAACAGACTTGAAGACAGTCCTGACTGCTGCACCCAAAAAGTGGCAGCAGCAATTCACCTAAGTGTAATACATGGCTTGGAAAAGCTGATTCAAGGAAACCAAACTGGGTTTTTTTTATTATTATTTTGTAAAAGTTGCATTTGACATAAAAAAAATAAAAAATAACATCAGCTGTCGAGCTCAGTCCTTCTCTCTGTAAGCAGAGTTGAGTTCACTGTCAAATGGGAAGGTTTCAGCTAATTCAGCAAACAGCCTTCACTTGTGACACTGTCAGAAGAGTTTTTTTGAATATAACACTGAAAAAATTCTGGAACAGAGTTTCCATCCTCAAAGGAACGTTCTCAGCTGTATCTGCTGCTCTCACTGGGGCTCCTGTTGTTGGAGTAGCTTCGATCGCTGTCGCTGTCAGAGCCGTAGGATCTGCAAGGAGAAAAAAAGATTTAAATGCCCCAAAGCTGCAGTTTGAGCTTCAAATGTAAAATTTCATCATGTCGAAGAATTGTTACAGATAGGAAAACACACTAGTCTTTTACAGGATTGTATTTCTTGTAAGTGGAGGATTCATTCAAGGTTACTCAAAATGGAAATAATCATGAAATTGATATGATGAAAACTTGGTGTAACTCAAGTCAAACTGTAACTTCTTGCTCTCTCTGTTACAGCTAAAAAACATCCAAAATTAATGTTTTTATAAAAGCTAATTGAGCTGAGTGAGAAGCATATTCTAATAAGTGGAATTTTACACTGCAAGCATTTCTCAACTAGGATAATTTCACAAATCCTTGATTTATATATTTCATTTTCTTGTTTGAAGGAGGGTCTTAAAACTTAGGCCCCATAACCACAACAGAGGTGTGTTTGTGTGTCTGCAGTGTGGAAATTGTATTTAAAATGTTTTGGCTCCTCCAGACAAATTCCAAGCTCAGCACCTGGCCAAATGTCAACACAGAGCCCAGATGGTTTCAGACAAGCCACAGGACACGTTCAAATTACACAGAACAAGCTTTCAGAGATTTTCCAGCCTCCTGCCTGTAAGGGAAGCTTTCTAAGTGAAAGGTGAGCATTTCCTAATCCTACACTGAAGCTCCTCAACATAACAAAGCAATGGTTTTTAAGTTAATTTCCACATTCTTCATTAGATCTCGTTAATCTTCCCTCCAACACAAGATAAATGTTGTCTTGTGCAAATGGGTGAGAGCAAAGTCCATTAAGAGTTGGTATAAAGCTGTGAAAAAATTCATATGAGGAGAGGATGAAAATGTACAGTAGTCTTAGAAACCTGATTTATTACTAATAGGAGGCATATTAAAAGGTATAAAACAAATCATCAGTGATATTAAATGTATCTACAACTCTCCATATATCTGATCTCTGTGAAATGTGCTCACTTACACATATATAAATCCTCTGGACTGAGGAGAATAAATTTTATTCTAAACTCAGCAGATTTGCAGGTAACAATATTCTTTCAAAATACATTCTACGAATTTAAAAATTAAATTTGGATTGCAGCAAAACTTTTAGTTTCCCTTCCAGATTGTTTTAGATCCACCTCTGCAGCATAACCAAAAAGAATTTACCATACAGTGGAATTCTTTGCATACCAGGCAGCTTTTAATCCATAACAGAGCACTTGAATTAAATCTTGAGAGCTATGTGGGTTTTAAGAAACACTTGATATTGTTAAAAAAATATAATTAATCAAATAATAGGATCATTAAGGTTGGCAAAGACCTTTGAGGTCACCAAGCAAACCCAGCCCCACTGTCTTCACTATTAAACCGTGTCCTCAATGCCATTTCCACAAGTTCTTAACACTTCCAGGGATGGGAACTTCATCTTTTCCATGGGAAAAGGTGCTTATTTTGAATTCATGGACACAATGAAATGGAAATCAACCTTTCCTTATCCTGGCTGCCTCTCCATCCTCCTATTTGGAATGTCTTAACTTCCGACTTCTTCTCTCACGCTCTGATTTTAATTAGAATTTGGTTTGAATTATTACTTTTGCTCAGTGTATTTCTTATTCTTATGGGGAAAAAGCAGCACCCTGGCCTTGTTAAACATCCTCTGTTTGTGTTCAGCAAATCCTTGTGCACCCAAGCAGGGTCAGACCCACCTGGATCTCCGGTCGTAGCTCCGAGATCTCCGGTAGCTGTCGCTCCTCTTGCTCCTGCTCCGGCTCCTGCTGTAGTAACTGTCATAGGTGTAGGACCTGCTTTAAAGAGGGGAAAAAAATAATACTGAATTCATGATTTCTGGTCTAAAATGCTGTTTTAAATGACATTTCTATAGAGATATGAGAGGATGTATAGAAATTATTGTCAAGGATGCGGCGAAGAATTCTACACTTTACAAAGGTTTCAACACAACAACAATCTTCAACAGTAAGATCTCAAATTTTATCAGGAAGGACATACAAAGCATTTATAAAGCTTTGTGCTGTCCCTTTTATTTTTCCTAGTAAAATTCTTGTTTGCTGATACTTCTGAAAGCAAGCCAAGCGATTCCATTTATAACTCAATATTATTTAAAAAAACAAAAGCAAATGTGTTCACTACTACTTTTAGCATTACCTACAACTGTAATGCCAGGATGGTTTGGTTATTTTCAGCTTTTGAAAGCGTCTTGTGTTCATTCTGCTTTGATTCAAGTTGCCATCATGATATTGTAATAATAGTTTTAAGTACTACTGGTCCCTGGAAGTGTCCAAGGCCAGGCTGGATGGGGCTTGGAGCACCCTGGTCTAGAGGAGGGTGCCCCTGCCCATGGCCAGGGGCTGGATCATCTTTAAGGTCCTGCCTGACCCAAACCATTCTGGGATTCTATGAGAGAAAAGTAATCCTAAAAAGCATTTCTATAAATAAATATGTATTTAGATATGCATTTGTATTACAGTATGTACAATAAAATAGGTAGTTTATACAATATATAATATATCAGACAGTAATTATAAAGTCTGTTTTAAAGAAATGTAAATAAAAGTAGACTTATACTAAGATGATTTGATGGGCAGCACATTTCTTGCAGAGGTTGTATAAAAGGACAATCTGATGCCTCAGGTTTTAGCTTTTATATTTTCAGGTTCTGTGCTGCTTTTGTGTGCAGTTCTGAGCTTCACATCAGGGCATGGTGAGCTCTGTGCACAGAGCAGGGAGACAAAACAATTCCTGCTCCAGCTGGGCACCAAGGACAAATGATCCAAATCTCAGCCCAGGAGCACAAACCCCGTGGGCTGGAGAGAGAAAAACAAGCAGGATGGGAGTGCAGGGGCTGAGCTGGAATTGGACACTGAACTGCAATGTGCACATGGAGCAGAGCTGATCCCAGGGAGAGACCCATGCATTTTGGGACCATTTTGGGTTGTGCTGCCCAAGGTGGATCTGTTGAGGCCTTTGAATAAATCCCTACTTTATTCTTTAGCTCCATCTAGTCTCTGTTCTAAATCAGCCTTCACAAGGCATCAAGTCCATACCTGGATCGACTGTGGTGACCATAGGAACTGCTCCTGGATCGGCTCCTGCTGTAGCTCCGACTGACAAAATCAAAACCACAGAGGGGTTTTTAGTCAACAGAAACCAAAAGTGCTGAAGAGGGCAGGGGGAGAGAGGGAACAAGAGGAGGAGAACACATTTGGCATTGTTTCCAGCTGGGTGAACTCACCTGTGGCTCTTGTAACTGTGGTAGGAGCTACTCCGGCTCCTGGAGCGATCTCGGCTGTACCAGCCCCGGCTCCGGCTCCTCGAGTAGCTCCTGGACCTACAACCAAGGACACCAAGAGAGAACACAGCTGAGGAAAAGAGCAGCAGAAAATGGGAACCAGAAGAAGTTATAAATCTTTAGCTTGCTAGCTAAATATTTATTGCATACTTGCTAGGTGATATGGCCACTGAGTTAATCCAAGGGCTGGAGCTCCTCTGCTCTGGAGCCAGGCTGGGAGAGCTGGGAATGCTCACTAGAGAAGGGAAGACACCAGGGAGACCTCAGAGCCCCTTACAGGGCCTAAAGGGGCTCCAGAAGAGCTGGAGATGGACTTGAGACAAGGGATGAAGGGACAGGAGAAGGAGGTCACTTCACACTGACACAGGTTGCCCAGAGAAGCTGTGGCTGTCCCTGGATTCCTTGAAGTGTCCAAAATCACGCTGGATGGGACTTGGAGCACCCTGGGATAGTGGAAGGTGTCCCTGCCCATGGCAGGGGGGTTGGAACTGGATGGGCTTTAAGGTCCCTCCCAACCCAAACCACTCTGTGGTTCTGTAACAGAGGGCCGTTAAAAAACAAAAAACACAGCCTGAAACGCATTCTTTGAAAACATAAGAACATACAATTTACCAGGGCTGGCTGTGGGAGCAGCACACGCTTCTCACCTGTATGAATAGGTAGAACTTCGGGATCGGCTTCTCGAGTGACTGTAGGATATGGACCTCGTTCTGTGTCTGGATTTAGACTCAGATTTACTTCGTGACCTGCTGAGACTCCTGGAAGGGCTGTTGTCATCTCTGCTTGGAGATTCCTCCTCACTGGAACTTTCTTGGTTCCTTGGCCGACGATTTAGCCGGGCTGTTTTCCTCACTTCATCAAAGAGAGACCCAGGCCTTACTTTATTTTTTGCTTTGATTTCAATTCTTAAACCTGCTGGTTTAGGCTCCGGTGCCGATGCTACATTTTTAACCTCTGTGGTTGTACTAATTGGTGTTGGTTTTAAGTTACCAACACCTTGCAAAGGCTTCCATTTATTGTCTATCATATTGCTTGATGCATTTTCAGAAATTTCACTTTTTAAACTACAGTCTTTAGCACCAGACACAGGGGCAGAGTTATTTTCTTGCCTTCCAGTTTCTTTTTCTTCTTTAATATTAATAAAGTCTCTTATGCTGTTTCCCAGTTTGACAGCATCTTGCTCAGGTGTCTCAACCTGTAACTCTTTTTTTACAGCAGCACTTAAAGGTTTAGCAGTGAGAATGACAGGAGACAAAACATCCACATCCACCTTCCCTGGCGAGTTACTAACAGAGCACTTGAATTAAATCTTGAGAGCTATGTGGGTTTTAAGAAACACTTGATATTGTTAAAAAAATATAATTAATCAAATAATAGGATCATTAAGGTTGGCAAAGACCTTTGAGGTCACCAAGCAAACCCAGCCCCACTGTCTTCACTATTAAACCGTGTCCTCAATGCCATTTCCACAAGTTCTTAACACTTCCAGGGATGGGAACTTCATCTTTTCCATGGGAAAAGGTGCTTATTTTGAATTCATGGACACAATGAAATGGAAATCAACCTTTCCTTATCCTGGCTGCCTCTCCATCCTCCTATTTGGAATGTCTTAACTTCCGACTTCTTCTCTCACGCTCTGATTTTAATTAGAATTTGGTTTGAATTATTACTTTTGCTGAGTGTATTTCTTATTCTTATGGGGAAAAAGCAGCACCCTGGCCTTGTTAAACATCCTCTGTTTGTGTTCAGCAAATCCTTGTGCACCCAAGCAGGGTCAGACCCACCTGGATCTCCGGTCGTAGCTCCGAGATCTCCGGTAGCTGTCGCTCCTCTTGCTCCTGCTCCGACTCCTGCTGTAGTAACTGTCATAGGTGTAGGACCTGCTTTAAAGGGGGGAAAAAAATAGTACTGAATTCATGATTTCTGGTCTAAAATGCTGTTTTAAATGACATTTCTATAGAGATATGAGGGGATGTATAGAAATTATTGTCAAGGATGCGGCGAAGAATTCTACACTTTACAAAGGTTTCAACACAACAACAATCTTCAACAGTAAGATCTCAAATTTTATCAGGAAGGACATACAAAGCATTTATAAAGCTTTGTGCTGTCCCTTTTATTTTTCCTAGTAAAATTCTTGTTTGCTGATACTTCTGAAAGCAAGCCAAGCGATTCCATTTATAACTCAATATTATTTAAAAAAACAAAAGCAAATGTGTTCACTACTACTTTTAGCATTGCCTACAACTGTAATGCCAGGATGGTTCGGTTATTTTCAGCTTTTGAAAGCGTCTTGTGTTCATTCTGCTTTGATTCAAGTTGCCATCATGATATTG